TGCAGTAAACCGAATCCGAAGCAACGCGTTGAATACGCGGTTATTTGCGCAGTTGTGTGAAGAAAATGACGAACACTTTCATCAATTACTGCTTCACACTGAAGTACGCTGGCTGTCGAAAGGCTTATGTTTGACAAGATTTTTTGCACTTTTTGAGACTATTTTAGAATTTCTGGATACTAAAGATAAAATTTTAAAAGAAAATTTAATGAAGAGGAAAACAGACATCGTCTAAAAACGGATATCAGCAATTCTGGCTGCACAACAACATACCCGTTACTTATCCCGTATTATGGAATATAGCGAGGAAATTTTTAATTTCCTTTCCATCGTCATACCTAGTGGAAAGAGGGTTGAGCGCTGTTATCAATCTCCTAACGAAAAAAAGAAACAGACTGGACATCATTAGCCGGGGAGATTTAAGATTAACCCTTACAAAATTGACGCCAAATGTTGATAGTTTATTATTAAAGCATCAAGTTCATCCTTCTCACTAAAAGTATTAACTTATTGCTTATGTTATTTTATTTATAGTTTATTTTAAGTTTATTGGTGTCTGACCAATAAATGCCCGCACTGGGAATAAGTGCCCGCATTGATTTTTTTAAAGAACCCCCCTTTATAGAAATTTTTTTTTAAATTATTCTGAAAATTCAAGGTTAGGTACATACTAAAATTCGTTAATTTTTTGCCTATTTTTAGATAAATTAAACGTATAAGAAGCGGAATTTAATCAAACTATATATATTTTACATAACAGATACAAAATTTTATTTTGAGTAGTTTTAATTTAAATTCAGTTAATAAATGTGTTTTTACTTTAAGTTTTTAACACTAAACTTCACTACAGTTAGAAATTTACAGGAAATCAATATCAGGTAAGTAGGGGGTCTACCCAACATGGAAAAACATGGCAAGGGGTCTACGACACAAAAAAGTTTGGGAAACTCTGCTCTAGAAGCCTGAAAAAAAATTCATTAATATGAGAAACATTTTCGTTACAATAAGAACTTTATAATTACAAATTCTTTGATCATATTAAGTTCCTTCTTCATCGACTGTAAATTCAAAACTTTGATTTTTACCGAATTTTGTTCCGTAAAAATGTAAATAGATTGAAATTTACGTTCTGATCATTTTGTTGTAAATAAGACGCCTTTTGTGTAGCACGATTAAAATATAATATATTATATAAATATGATAAACAGTAATTCGTGTGTATTAGACTCATCAGTACCTACGCATATATGAGGAATGAACAAGGTGAGAATGCACTACCTTGAAAAAGTACCTGCCTCCGTTGCGCTGTGCCCAAACCAACAAAGAGTAAGTCCGAAACTGCACGCATGCGTAGATCGCGCGCTAGCTCTATCTCTCTTACTCCCCTACAGAGGATCTATAAAAGAATTTATCAATAGTGGCGGTCCTAAGAAGGATAACGGTTAAAACTGTTATCAAATTATTGCACTGTTATCGGTCCTTGAGACGGAAGCGATGTTTCAAATTAATAAAGCTTCTGGAAAATGGTGAAAATTATGTTTAAATATTCCGTTAAATGCATGCTAATAAAAGCGTGTTAATAAATGCATTATGCACCTCTGGTTATTCACAAATAGTTGTCGAACGCCTATCGATTATTCATATTTTTGATTAAAACACGGACCTTTATCTAATCTTTAGATTATATTTCGCTTTACGCTGCAACGGATTAATTTGATAAGAGATACAGAAATATAGAAGTGTATCGATTGCAGTGTTATACCTGCAATAAAATCGTCGATTAATGGTATTTTGGAACTGCCCTAATGGGTAAGTACTTGATTGTTTTCCATTTTCACCTTCCACGTATGAGCGATATTATATGGGGTTGTCCAAAACGGATGCAGGAAAGTAAACGCATATTAAAACAAGAAAGATTGATATTCAAATCAAGTTGGGTACTTTATTTTGAAAGCTCATTTATACCATTTATGTAAGAAAAATAATATCGCTCAAATGTTCACCACGACTGGATTTACAGACGTCCACGCGATGGTCGAAATTTTCAATGACATTTTGCAACATGGTCCGTTCTATGGCATTTATCTCGGCAATGATGTTGTTTTTGAGTTCTTGGAGGGTGGCTGGTTTGTTGACGTAGACTTTGCTTTTCAAATATCCCCATAAAAAGAAGTCCAAGGGAGTCAAATCGCACGATCTTGGTGGCCATGGCACACTTCCTCTGCGCGAAATCACGCGATCACCGAAGAAGGACTGCAATCGATGGATATTGACGTCGGTTGTGTGGCATGTTGCACCGTCTTGTTGGAAATAAACATCGTCCATATCCATTTCTTCAAGTTGCGGCAAAAATAGTCCTCTATCATCACGTGATATCGCTCAGAATTGACGGTAACGGCGTCCCCGACCGCATTTTCCAAAGAGTAAGGTCCGATGATGCCTTTTGACCACAATGCACACCACATAGTCACTTTTTGAGGATGCATCGGCTGCTCTTGATACTCACGGGGATTTTCGTTCGCCCAGATGCGGCAGTTTTGCTTGTTTACCGTCCCATTCAAAGTGAAATGCACTTCGTCGCTGAACATGGTTTTTGATGAAAAATTGGCACCAATTTGGCGGTGTTCAAGGAGCCAATCTGAGAACGTTCGGCGCGAAAAATGGTCGGCCCGACGCAGCTCTTGCGTCAATTGGATCTTGTAGGCGTGTACATTCAAATCCTTGTGGAGAATGCGGAGCAAACTGGTTCTCGAAATGCCCAATTCTTGGGATCGACGCGTTGTTGATTGTTTCGGATCGTCTCTCACACTCTCCTTCACAACAGCAATATTTTCCGGTGTGCGAACGCTCCTTGGCCGGCCAGAGCCTGGCAGATTTGCCACCCAACCTGTTGCCTCGAATTTACGCACCAGACGACCGTTGGTTATTTCGTTTGGGCGGTTGTTGCAACCGAAATGTTCACGAAGCGCGCGAATCGTGTTTTTTATTTTTGCACCATTTTTGTAGTGCTCTTGAATAACTTTAATGCGGTCTTCAATCGAATACGACTCCATAGCGATCAATGGTAAACATTCAACTAACAAAATGACATGTCGGTGACAGAAAACAAAGATGGCGTCTATGTCAAATTGACGTTTACTTTCCTGCGTCCCTACTGGACAACCCTTTAGTACCTAAGTTGACTACCTAGTATCATTATTTACCCTCTTAACTAAGATAAAACTCCAAAGCGGAAGGTTGATACAAAAATTAGCAGCAAATGCATTCTATTTGAAGTATGTTAGGTACACAATAGAAATTCTAGGATAGCCTCAAATAGAAATTTGGAACTTCCTACGGTGAATTTGTTGTCTGAAGAATCGTTAAAGAAAGTAACATTCTTCCTTTTGGGATCAATCAGAATCCACAAGCTTCAGACTAATAAACTTTGTTTACCTCATGGACACTTCTTAGCGATTTTTTGATGTTTTATATATATATATATATATATATATGTATATAAATAACTTGAGACGTGGTCATTGTCGTCTAGACCAGTTAGGTAAAAAATTAAAGCTTCCGCCTTTTGTTGGGTACTTCGACAAAATTTATCATCATGTTACTGGACGTTTCTCTCATCTTATACGTAAACAACAATTAGCAACATCCTCACATACTGCTGTAAGTTGAGTCAATTTAAATTCATTTTACACTTTTGTTGCTACTGTTATCATTGTAATTGCAGCTCCTGATGATGATGGCAAAGTCCATTGAAAGCTAGAGAGAATTAAAAAAAAAGTATAAATAGTCCTCTTTGCTTAAATTTTGTCGAAGTACCCAACAAAAGGCGGAAGCTTTAATTTTCACCTATATATATATATATATATATATATATATATATATATATTACAAGTAACAGATAAAAGTCCATGTCTATTAAAAATATACTTTATTTATCACATACAATATATATAATATACACGTTTACTTTCCTGCCTCCCTATTGGACAACCCTTATATGATAAATAAGATTTTTTTGCTGCTACTAACTGCTTTTCGTCCCCTCATTCAGTCAGCCAACATCGTTTTGCGATGACTAAAACTCGTCAGTTCACTTAGATCTAGGATTGAATAAAGCGTCATGTCCTCTTTTCGTCCGACCTACCAAAGGCAGGCAACCATAGACAGCTGTTTCGTGCTTTTAGGCTACTCCTCTGTATGGTCTAGGCTTGGGTCCCTCGAATAACGAACGAAAACGTAGCAACTATACACTATCTAAATAAAGTGTGTGATCTATAGTCGACTACGAAACAGTGAATCGCAGCCCACGGGTTGAGGCCGTATATTAGGGTATCCCAGCAGTGGCGTAGCTAGAAGTCATGGGGCCCCGGGGCAAACATTTTTTGGGGGCCCTCATTAGTACGTTTAAGAATAAAAAATATCATGTTATAATAAAAAAATTGTTTATTGTCATAAAAACAAAAAGTAACAAATTCAAATAATGAAATAACAAAAGTCAAAAATTAAACAATAATAAAATTAGAAATCCCTTTTTCTTGCTTTTCTGTTTGCAAATTCGTTGATAATATCATTTATATCAAGGTTTTGGGCTTCTTCATTCTCTATAGAGAACAAAGCAAGATCGCTTAATCTAATCTAGTAGACCTAAGATAGTTTTTTATAAGTTTTAGCTTGTTAAATGATCTTTCAACAGTTGCAGTAGTTACAGGCAACGTAAAAAATTAAAGGAACATTAAGTAAACTTCACTTAAGTCGCTTTCAGGTACTCCATACTTGCTTGAAATTATATTGAAATATTCCTTAATTGATAGATCATTCTTAAGGTCTGTTTTACAAACATTTAACAAATTGCTATACTGAAATATCAAATTATTTAAATCAAATATTTCAGGATATTTGTTATAAATGGCTGTACATTTATTTTTAATGGATGTATCATCGCAACTTAATATAATTTTTGGAAGAAGTAAATCATACAATTTATTAATTTTTTTCATGCTCCTAAATCTATCAGAATTCTGTGTCAGAACACGGTCCATAACAACATTAAAAACATTTATTTTAAATAAAATTTGAGTATTATTAAATCTGTAATCACTTAAGAGTTCGTCAAAGTGTTTTTTAACTTTGGGTTGACGTTTTTGCCTGAATTCCGGTTGAATATTCTATTTGTTAGCCAGTTCCGTAGCTTCAATCATTAACATTCCACAAGAAGATCTTAATTCAGTAAGGTTCTTTTCTACTTGTTCTAAAACAGTCACAGATTCACTTATATCAATATTTTTCTTTTGAAGGACCTTTGAGGCGAAGTTAACCTGGGTAAAGATTTTATACAACATTGTTGAAATAAATACAAATTCAAAGCAACACATTTGTTTTTTAATAGAAGAAGCTTCTTCTCTTTCTTCTTTTTTATGAGACTGTAACTCTATTTCTGTTAAAGATTTAATAATATCAAGATAACGAACTTTGACAACACTATTAGACAATATCCTTCCTGACCAACGAGTTGGATTTTATGTTTTTAAAGTTTTTTTGGATTCACTGGTAAAAGAAGCTAAAAGATCCCATCTATTAATACTTTAACCAAAAAAAGAATATATATTTTGCAAATTGGCAAAATATTGCGAGACCTCTTTACAACAATTTACTGCATCATTTATTACTAAATTTAAGTTGTGACTTGCACAATATACATATTCGGCATTTTCAAAATTCAAAAGTTGAAAACAATTTCTCCCATGTTAATCAAATGGGAAATTGAAATTTGCGATGCGGCACTTCAAAATATTAATATTTAAGAGCTGTAACTTTTACAGGACTTTTTTTCGTCATTTGTTCGATATACTATACAGGGTGACTTTGAAGTTGAGTCATTAATTTTCAGATAATGATTGTAGAAGGAAGATAAACCAAAATATGTGTGTAAAAATAAAAAAAAATAAAACATTTTTTTTACCTCGTTTTATAAGTATTTCAGTGCGGACCTGTATTTGATCGTAAGGTCTTGAAGCACCGGCATGCAGTCCCCTGCGAGGTCTTAAGTCACCTGATTCACGAGCCGGTTGTACTACATTAACAAAGGCACGAGGGGTTGGTTGCACTCGATTGGGAAACCGATCCGCATAAACATGTGCCATTTTTTATTTCGTTTGAGCCACGCAGCAAACACTCACTCACGCGTTACCGACTGACACAGACTGAATAAAAACATCGTGATCAGCGTTTCAAATTCTTTCGCTTTTTTGTTTCCGATGCGATGAACCGATAAGGCGGAGTATATCCGTTGTCGCCAAACACGAGCACATGATATTATTATTGAGACAGGGCGGTACTCAAACTTCTAAAGGGCTATAACTTTGTTACTTTAATTTTACCACAAAAATGTTAAAGGAAAAAACATTACTTTTGATCAGATCTACTCACTGTTAAAATAAATGACTCAACTTCGAAGTATACTTAAGAGAAAAAAAATTATTCGATATTTTTGAAACAGTCAATAGATAATTTTTAGTCTTTAAGAAACTTTTCGAATTTTGTGTCGGGTTTAAGGTGCCCGCAGAGTTTCCGTAACATAAGACTTAAGCCCAGACTTAAGCGTTAAGCTGTAACGTAATTTCTCATGCCTTAAGGCTTAAGTCTTGACCATACTTTATAAATCACATTATCAGAATTCTGTATAATCCTTGCGGTTAAGTCTTAATCTGTCTTAAATGAAACTTAAGTCTTAAGTCTTACGTTACGGAAATTCTGCGGGCGCCTTTACTCAGCAAGGTAATGGACAAATGTACATTTACAAACAAAATTACGCACAAATCAAAATCGAGCCATTTATTCATTAAGTAATATAACTTACACTTACCTTTTTTTCTAATAGGTACCTTATTATAACGAGACACAATAGTCACAATATTCACAATACAAATATAGTAATGTTATTTTACACCACGGCGGGCACCACGGTACGACTACGACACATATCAATATCACAGGCTGGGTAGTTGAAATCATCAAAACAATAGATCGGGGAATCCCCAAAGACGAGACGTAATATTAAGGCGGTGGTGCCAAGCCCGCCGCGGTCAGACGGATTATAGCTACATACATTTACGAACGCAAGCGTTTTCCTCAAATATGTAGCGTTTTAAAAAATAAACATTTTTTATCATTATATTTATTATTTATTTTTCTTTTTAGTATACCTAGGTTATATAAGACCAACACCTACTTTGGATAATTCTAAAAATAATATAAAAAAGTACTTTGATATTTTGAATTAAGTTGGTATATGGTTGCAAAAAAACAGATTGTATTGTTGGCGATGTCTTCTGTTTTATACAGAAAAAATGGGTGGACCAGCAGCGGAGTCAATGATTTAAATAGTTTTAGGTCTCTAAAAAGGAGACATGACATTTCTCCGTTACATGTGAGATGTGTAGCCAATTTAATTCAGTTTGGCAAAACAAGAATCGAAAGTTGTCTTAACCAAGCTTTTAAGCAGCACACTACTAGATACCGTATGTTTTTTGGCAAAACAGGAATTACCGTTCATTTTGGAGGGGATGACTCTGGCAATAGAGGAAATTATAGGGAATTGTTAACATTCATTGCCAAAAAATATCAAAAATTCTCCGAACATCTAGTAACTTCGACTGTTTTTTCGGACGGCTTGGGTTAGTCATAACATAAGACGATGAGGTATATCAAGTGCCCCAGACACTCAGTCCAGGAATGTTTACCTTAATTCAAAAATAGTTTAAATAAAATACCTAAAATGAGCAAAAACTTATATTTGGGAGGCTAAAAATAAACTTTTTTTGGTAGCAGTTTAGTTCTACTACAAGTAGTTAATAGGAACTTAAGTTTACATTATAAAGCTCAGTTTTAGGCACACGTAAACCTTATGCTGAAATAACTAACTGTCAAAGTAATCATGAATTAAAGTAATTTAATTATTTGTACAAGTTCAAAAACAAGGAACGTCCATCGCATCCAAAACAAAGAATCTTTGAAACCAATTAATGTTACTGATTATATATCAGTAATGCTATCAAAAAAGGCTTGAGCTCCAGCAGAACACAATTTTTTCAAGAATATGAGGTCCTCATACTTCTCTGCACTAATGGGTAGATAATCTTTGTAGGCAAAATCTGGTAATTCAAACTGATTGTTACAGGAAGATTCGTGCTGAATCCTCCTTTGTCTAATCAGTATAGGTGAATTTTCCCACAAACCATTGCAGATACGCATACCTTCAATTTTTTCCATTTGACTCTAACAACTCAAAAAATAAATATTATTGCGATCGGCAACGATAACTCGGACTTTCGGTCAAACTGTGAATTTGGAAGTTAATAGGGAAACCATGTATAGATTTGAAAACCTAGTTCTTATTCGACAAATAAAGCACTCATTTACTTGTATCTTATGTTTCTTAGATATTTATCATTAAGAACAGTATTTACTGAGTTTTCTTTTCAAGGTTTTCTTTTTACAGTCAGGATATACCTGCCTGTGTTCATGTACACAGCGTAATAAAAATTGTTTTTGTTCCCCATCAGGGTTGCATTTGTAAATCACTTGGTAAAGTATACAATACCGTACACAGTAATGGAATGTAGATTGAGAGATGAAATTTCACTCTGGAATACTGTCTATCTTTGTTTTTAGAACGCTTAAATTATTGCAAAGTCTTATAACGACACTTGATGACGGCGTACTAATTTCTAACTACGTTTTCTTCTACCACGTTTCCACTACATGAAGCGCTAGAGATCCGAGATCGACCATTTATCCTGAAAAATATATATATTCTGCCAATTTTCAGTATTTTTTGATAAACAGACGACGCAATCAAACAAATGCCAACAGTCTTATTTCCAAGGCTTTAAGCACGGGAAGAAAAGGGCACTTTTGACGTTCCAGAAGGATTACTTTGTTCTAAAAAGTGTAAACGTTATGGTAGTCATTATTAAAATGGGGCAAAACAAGTCAAAAAGTTCATATGACCCATGGTCCAAAAGTCAATAGATTTTTGTCTAAATGGCTTTATAGTTTACAACATTAAGTGCTTTATATCGACCACAATCACCACAATCTTACTAATTTTTATAATATAATCTAAAACGTTTTTAAATTGGGTAATTAACAAATTAATGGTATTAAGTTTTTCTAAGTAAAGCCAAAATTTGTATTCACTAAATTAAATATTTAAAACACACATGACAATAGCGCGTCGGCCTTATCACTCTTATCGCACCGGCAATCGATCGCAAACGGTAACAGGGGTTAGTTATCGGGCATCGGGCGTGTTGTTTTGTTTTTGTTCGCGTACGTCGTCATGATATTTACAATGTTCTCGAATCAAGAGTTCGCCGACATGTTAGTTTACGGTGAAGCTCGTCAGAATTCAAATCTTGCAGCTAAAATTTGTCGCGACAGATTTCGCCAACGAAGGACATTTGTGCAAGTGTACTAAAGACTTCGAGATACAGGAAGCGTTCAGCCCACTAATATTCGCACTCGTGAAAGACAGGTTACTGGAGAGCTGGAGGACCAAATTTTAAAATCAATGCAGATATCAGGACTACGGAATTAGGCCGCCGCGTAGGACTATCGCATACCATAGTCCATGGAATCCTACGTGAAAATTTGCTTTATCCCTACCATGTACAACGAGTGCGGGCCTGGTTACCAGAAGACTATCCTCGCATATTAACATTCTGTCAGTGGTATTTGCACAAAAACATTGAAAATCCGGATTTTTTTAAAAACATTCTAGCGACGGACGAATGTACTTTTACGCGAGACGGGATATTAAATTTCCATAATACTGTCACGTGGGCCCAAAAGAATCCTCATACCATTCGTGAAGGTCATTTCCAACAACGTTTTAAAATAAATATTTGGGCGGGTATTCTTGAACATCAGGCAATTGGGCCTTTCGAGTTACCCCCAAAGTTGTAAGGGGACGGATACATTAGCTTTCTAGCCAATAACCTACCAGAACTTTTGGAACAGACCTTTGACAACATGCCATTACAACGGAGACAGAATTTGTGGTTTCTTCATAACGGGGCACCACCACACATTTTTAGAGGCGTCATTCAGTGTTTGAATGAACATTATCCAAATCGCTGGATCGGTCGAAATGCTCCTGATCCTCGAAAATGGCCAACAAGATCTCCTGACCTCAATCCGATGGATTTCTGGTATCGGAGAGGACTTAAAGGGATAGTTAATGGGGCTGGTCCAATAACCCCTGAAGCACAACTTCGCGAACAAAAATTTTTAATGCGGCTGAAATAATAAATGG